ACTTGAGCCTGGGAGGCGGAGGTTGCAGTGAGCCAAGATTGCACTACTGCACTCCAGCCTGGGTGACAAAGCAAGACTCCGTCTCAAACAAAAAGAAAAAAAGAAAAATGATTGAAATGACACTGAACCACCACTCACCCCTCAGACTGGCCAATTAAAAAAACTTGGCCCTGTGGGGTTGCAAAATGGGACCACCCTGTGGAGGGAACGTGGCAATACCCAATGCAACCAACGCACAGTCACCCCGCGGCCCAGCGCTGCCACACGCAGGAATTCACCCTAAAGACACACCTCGAACAATCTGAAAGTACAAAGGCACTCGGTTATTCATGGCAGCATTATCTGAATTTACAAAATATCGGGAATAACCTGACCGACTATAGAGAGGACAGCAGCTGAGGGAACTGCAGCCCGTCACATGGCAGAGCGCCAGCCACGTGGTTCTAAAAGACAGTGAGGGAAATCCTTGCGTCGACACCATGGTTTCCAGGAGACAGTGTTATGTGAAAAAAAAAATGTGTGGCTGGAAGCTCACGCCTGTCATCCCAGCACTTTAGGAGGCCAAGGCAGGGGGATTGCTGGAAGCTTGGAGTTCAAGACCATCCTGGGCAACGTAGCGAGACCCCATCTCTACAACAAAAACTTTAAAAAAATTAGCTGGGCTTGGTGGCACACACCTGTAGTCCCAGCTACTCGGGAGGCTGAGGTAGGAGGATGGCTTGAGCCCAGGAGATGGAGGCTACAGTGAGCTATGATTGCACCACTGCACTCCAGCCTGGGTAACAGAGCAAGACCCTGTCTCTGAAACAAAACCAAAAAGCCAGAGTGCAGAAGAGCATATAAAGAATGCTCCGTCTGGGCCGGGCGCAGTGGCTCAACCCTGTAATCCCAGCACTTTGGGAGGCCGAGACAGGCAGATCACAAGGTCAGGAGATCGAGACCATCCTGGCTAACACAGTGAAACACCCGTCTCTACTAAAAAAATACAAAAAAACTAGCTGGGCGAGGTGACGGGTGCCTGTAGTCCCAGCTACTCGGGAGGCTGAGGCAGGAGAATGGCGTGAACCGGGGGGGCGGAGCTTGCAGTGAGCTGAGATCCGGTCACTGCACTCCAGCCTTGGCGACAGAGCGAGACTCCATCTCAAAAAAAAAAAAAAAAAGAATGCTCCATCTAAGAAAGAGGAATACATGTGTATACGTTCATCTTTACAAAATAAAACACACGAGAAAACCAGGAGACAACTATGCTCAATACCAAACAGTGAGGAGGAGGTACGGGAGGGCTCCCTGCATCTGTCTTTAGGGGCAGTTTTGACATCTAGAAGGATGGTCACACTCTACAAACCTAACAGGACAGGGCGTGGGGTGTGGTGGGAGGCACAAGACTGAAAGCAAACGGGAAGAATGAACCCAGCTGTATTTCCAATGAAGGCACCACAACACTGATGGTGGAGAAGCCTATCCAAGGAACTCATGAGCACAGCACTTACGGCACCCGCAGCTGTGGGCAGGGAGTGAACTCCACACAATCCCGACCTCTTCATGGTGGGTTTGTTTTTGCAATCCTGTGACAAAGCTGCGCTGCAGCTCTCGAGCAGGCGTGCGCTGGACCCCCCCAGCAGAGGCCTGAGGACGCCGGACTCCCCAGCAGATGCCTGAGGATGCTGCTGCTGCTGGGAGCCAGGGTCCTCAGGGTGGAGATGGGGGCGGGGGAGAACCGTGCAAGGTGGGACAGAATCCGCGCACGGCTCTGAGCTGTTTCAGATCTGTACACGCATATTACATATGTACGTGTATGTCTGCATGTCGGCACGTCTGTTCTCCCTAGCTGTCCACAGAAAGGGCCTAAAGCTCAGGCACCCTGTGGCATCGAGCACACCTCGTGTCTAGATCCTGGTCTCTAATGCTGTTCCCCACCAAAGGGAGCCAAGCTCCAAAGAGCAATGCCCTGCCATGCCTGGTCATGAGGAGGTGCTCGAAGGAGAGGCGCGGCGCACAGGCAGAGCGTGGTAGGGTTCCCACCAGCAAATCTCGTACACTTTGAACACCAGGATAATTAAAGACAGGAGCAACTCACAGACCACTGAAGTCGGGAGGCAATCCCCATGTGGCCAGTGATAAAAGAGAACGAGCGTGGATAACCACTGAATACCTGAGACACGCAGATGAATGGATGGGGGAGGGAGCCCATGTCTGTGGGATGCTGGGGCCGGGAAGCCTGCTCTCCAGTCCTCACCATCTGGTCTCTGTGGGAGTCAGAAGTGTCTGCATAGATGTTCGCAAGATGCAATGGGAAAACCAGGAGGCATCAGGTGGACAGGCAGCCCCAGGGTACCTGGGCCAACAGCCGCAAGTTCTCAAAGAGCTCAGGAAGAAATGTCTTTATGCGGCCGGGCGCGGTGGCTCAAGCCTGTAATCCCAGCACTTTGGGAGGCTGAGACGGGCGGATCAGCGGGTCAGGCAGATCGAGACTATCCTGGCCTAATATCATGATGAAACCGCCGTCTCTACTAACAAGAATAGCAAAAAAACTAGCCGGCGCGAGAGGTGGCGGGCGCCTTGTAGGTTCCAGGTCTAGCTCGGGGAGGCTGAGGCAGGAGACATGGCGAAACCCGGGAGGTGGAGCTTGCAGTGAGCTGGAGATCGGCACTTGCCACTCCAGGCCTGGCGACAAAGTGAGACTCCGTCTGCAGAGAAGAAAGAAAAGAGAGAAGAAATGTCTTTATGCACGTGTGTGTACACACGTGTGGTGTGTGCATGCATGTGTGGTGTGTATGTATGGGGGTGTACACGTGTGTGGTGTGTATGCATGGTGTGTGCACGTGTGCATTGTGTGCGTGGATGTGTGGTATGTATGCATGATGTGCACGTGTGCATTTGTGTGCATGTGTGTGTGGTGTGTGTGCATGGTGTGTGC